TAGCAGTAATAATGCTAGGTATTAGTTTTAGATTAAAGAAGACCATTTAAAGATACATAACAACCAAATGTCGAATCCTTTTTTGTTAGTGCAGTGTTAGAGCTGTTGTTTAAGATGTATAAGGCTTCAGTTCCCAGCTCTGGGAAGAAAAAAAGTTTCAAGAAGGAAGAAAGATAACACACTTGTTTTATAGTCTGCTATCAGCTTGGTTTCTCCATGTGTATTTATCTCATCAATACATGTTAATGATTAAAAACAAAGACAAGGAAGAAGGAAAAGGAGCCTATAAAGTCCTCCACTTTGTTTGCTCTGGGCCTTCAAGAGGTTATGGGATGGCCAACCACTAGGCAGTTTGCTTCCTGGAGTCAAGTCTCATCTCTTTTTGTCTTGTGTCTAAATACTTGCCCCACTAAGTAGAGGGATGGTGGATTTATTTTCCTTTCAGGTTCAGAGGCTTCAGTCCATTGTGGTGGGAGAGTGTGGCACATATGGTAGTCAGGAAGAGGGGAGACAGTAGGAGGTAGGTGAAGAGAAGCAGGGAGGCCAGCTGAGTAGGCTGGCTTCCTCCTTCAACCCTTCTTCTTTTACACCATCTGGGCCCCAGGCTATGGCATGGTGCTGCCCATAGGCTGGGGAGAGGGGGTTTTAGCCCCCTGACTTCTCTAGAAGCACCCCACAGACACACGAGGTGCCTCTCTCTAATCTCCAGGGAACTCTTAATAAAATCACATGGACAAGATTAAACATCACACCCTCACAAGTGCATCCATAAATAATGTCTAATTCGGGCACTTCATGGCCAGTTGAGATGACATTACCTGTCATAGTTAACTTCTTTATTACTGCTGAGCGGTCCATACTTACTAGACCCGTAACAATAACACAGATCAGTAGCGTGTTACCTCTGAAAGATTAGTGCTGATAAAATCTTATCAAATAGATAGTTCAAGCTCAGATTTCCCCAGCCACTCTAACAATGTGCTGCCGCCGCTGCTACTACTACTATACCACACACACACACACACACACACACACACACACACACACACACGCACTCACATAAATTTTTTCCCCCATGGCCCAGGATTTCATCAAAGTCTTTGGGTTCATGTATTTAGTTTTCCTTAACTAAAACACTTCCTAGCATTGCTATCACCACCTCTGTTGCTGCTACTACTACTGATTTTGTCTTTCACAACAATATTCTTATTCATTAGGTTTGTTCAAAACAGTGTATCTCTCCGTAGCCCTGGCTGTCCTGGAACTCACGCTGTAGACCAGACTGCCCTCAGACTCACGGAGATCCGCCTGCCTCTGCCTCCTAAGTGCTGGGATTAAAGGCGTGCGCCACCACCGCCCAGCACAGCAATAGTCTTAAGGTTGCCTCTTTTGGGGAACATCCTTCAACTTGGGTTTGCCTACTTGTTTCCTCATGGTTTGATTTAAGCAACACAATTTTGAACAAGCCTACGGGTGTCTCTCCCCTCTGAACAGAAAAGACACCACTATTTTTCATTCTGGATCTTTTCCAGCATATTCACAGCCCCAGTGGGCATGTGTTCGGGGTGTCTTGTTAATGGTGAGTTTCTCAGCTAGGCACCAGTCTTGCGGAATCCTGTGACTTTTGTGCCTCTTGTTCAAATTAGTAAGGCCCTTCCTTCTGCAGCTCTTGGCAGCCCAGTACCAAGCAGCCACCCCCTGAACCCAGCCCTGCAGCTGGCCTTGAGAGCGCCAGAGAATTGGGTTGGGTGGAGGCAGCAAGAAGGTATCAAATGCCTGTTCTATTATCGCAACACAGAGTACAAGGCTGTCCAGGGACTCCATTGACAGCCTCAAAAGCTCTGCAGCTTTGCCTTCTTTTTCTTCTCCCAGTCCTTACCCTGGGAAGGCTAAAGAGGATGAACACAGCCGGCCAGGCATCTTTGCAGTCGATCACATGGGCATGGCATAAGCCAAATGAACTTTCATGCCAACTGACCAGGCCCTGTTCAGGTCAGTACCATGAAATAATATGAACAAGATAAATCCACTTGTTTATACTTTGTTATTTCACCGATATTCTGGAACATCAGACACAATTGCGAAGGAGGTACTATCATGCTTTGATGCCTTCAAGCCTTCCCTCCTGACCTTTGCAATTACCCTCCCTTAAACTTCAAGAGCCCAAAATTGCTCCTGTCAGAACTTGTTCTTGCTAAAGCGTCAGTGGCTAATAGCCAATGGACAAAGCACAGCTCAAATGGTTTACATCTGCCCTATGGGAAAAATAGGTTTCTGTGGCTATACCCTAAAATAATGTATTTGTTCAATAACGTTTATTGAGGCTCACTAGAACAAAACCTTCGGGGAAAATGAGATTTGTATGAAAGTGCACATGAGAATTCACCCAAAGGGGGTAAAGTGGGGCATCGAACACTGAGTCTTGCCTGACATTGCTAAATTTATTTCTCTCAATCAGCCTCGGCTTACTCTGTGTTATTGATCACTTCAAGATGTGCTCTTCATTAGACAAAGAACCAACCATGGGAGATGCGGGCGTGATGCGGCTATTGGTGTGGCGTCGACTTGCAGTCTAGTTTCATAGTAAGAAAAACAAGTGGGAAGCAATTAGGCTGTTGTTATGGACCGACTATTTGTATGCAGGAAGCGTTGGGCAGTTGTTATGGACTGACTGTGTGTATGCAGGAAGCGTTGGGCAGTTGTTATGGACCGACTGTGTATATGCAGGAAGCGTTAGATGGTTGTTATGGACCGACTGTGTGAATGCAGGAAGTGTTAGGCGGTTGTTATGGACTGACTGTGTGTATACAGGAAGCGTTAGGCGGTTGTTATGGACTGACTGTGTGTATAGAGGAAGCGTTAGGCAGTTGTTATGGACCAACTGTGTGAATGCAGGAAATGTTAGATGGTTGTTATGGACCAACTGTGTGTATAGGGGAAGCGTTAGATGGTTGTTATGGACTGACTGTGTGTATGTTCTCTTAACTCCAAAATTAGAGCGCTCCCCCCTCGTATGATGGTATTTGGACAAGGGGCCTTTGGGAGGTAATTAAACTGAGATGAGATCATGAGAGTGTTCATGATGAGATTAGCACCTTTATAAGAAACAAGAGAGCTCATTTTCACCTCCCTGAATGTGCACAAAATGAGCACACGACACAATGGAGTTTGTCTCGAAGCCAAGAAAAGCGACCTCAGAATGAAGCCTACCTCGTTTGTACTTTGATCTTGGATGCCCCAGCCTTCAGAGCTGTGTGGAATAATGTATGTTGTTTAAGCACCCCATTTATGTTGTTTTGTTATAGAAGTCTGAATTGACTATGATACTGCCTTGGCAAAATAATAGGTAATGTATATTAATTAAATACTCTTTTTTTGTTTAAATAGGAGCTTCAGAAAAATGGGCCTTAGCCATGCATGATCACATGCTACATGTTGGTTTGTTTGGAGTTTCAGAGGAGGGCACATATATTTCCAGTTTAAAAAAGTACAAAGACTGTTCTTTCAAGTCTTGTGTGTATCATCCAGACTTTTAAAATGTTCACAGCTTTTCATATATAAGTTTTATATAAAGTGAGGCCATCTCTTAAAGCTGCAGCCGTCTGGGCTCCACTCCACAAAGCCTTCTTTGGCTGACAGTATATGTGTGAAATTCTTCAGTGCTGAGTGAGGACACAGGTTGCTTGTTTTCTGGGACAAACACTCATTTTATTTTATGACTCAACCAACTTTGTTTATGGTCTGTGGCTGATGGACATGCAAGCTGTTTTCTATTTTTTAACCTTCCCAAACAGCCCTGCTGAGGAGTTTCTGTGCTTGTCTTTGAGCGACCAAAGGACCTCTTTTCTGTCAAGGTTACACTTCAGCCTGAATGCGCTCTGTCATTGCGAGCTTCTCTGTCACAAGCGTTTTGCGCACTGCTCTGCATTTAGGCTAATGCTCAGCATTTCACCGTTCTCAGCGGATTCTCTTGTCGCCTGATAATGCACCCAACTGAAGCAGCTTAAGAGAAGGACTTGCTTTGGCTCATGGTGTGAGGGGACACGGTCCACTGTGGTGGGGAAGTGTGGTGTCTGAGGCTCTCTGTCTTGCGGTGGTGGGAGGCACTTGCGTTGTGGTTGTTATATCTTGGTAGACCAGAAAGCCGCAAGTGAGGCCTGGCTATAACCCTCTAAACCTGCCTTCTAGTGGCCTAATTTCCCCAGCTAGGCTTCACCTCTTAATTCCACCATTTTCCACACTTGGTAGGGACCAAGTGTTCACACACATGAGCCTGTAGGGGATATTTCTCACTTGACCCATAAAGTGTTAATCTTGGGGAGGAATATATAAAAAGATCGCATTTTGGTTTTAATTTTCACTCTTTGGAAAAGTGTCTCAACTGTATCCATGTACGAATAGTTACTTAGGATTTCTTCTGTGACGTATCTCTACAGGTCTTTTGCTCATTTTTTTGTGCCAATTTTTAATTTACTAGTTTGTAATTTTTATGTAATTGAGTGTAAGACCTTCTTTATAAATGGTGAGAATTATTTCTTCCTTCCCGTGGTTTGTTCTCTTAATGTGTCTTTTTGTTTGTTTGTTTTGTTTTTACAATCCTAGCTGTCCTGGAACTTGCTCTGTAGATCAGGCTGGTCTCAAATTTATAGAAATCTGCCTGTCTCTGCCCACTGAGAGCTAGTATTAAAATTGTGCACTACTACCTCCTGGACCTTAATGTGTCTTTTAGAACAAAAATTCCAAGTTGTAGGTTGATACCCAATTTGTCAATCTTATTTTAAAGTTAGTGCTTTGTAGTTAATAACTAAGAAATCTTTTGCAGTTGGGTAGTGGCGCCACACATGTTTAATCCCAGAACTTGAGAGGCAGAGGCAGGCAGATACCTATGAATTTGAGGCTAGCCTGGTCTACAAAGAGAGTTCCAGAATTACCAGGATTGTTATACAGAGAAATCCTGTCTCAAAAAGCCAAGAGAGCTTTTCCAGCTTGGGCCTGGCAGAATGGCTCCCGCAAAGAAGGGTGGCGAGAAGAAGAAGGGCTGGTCTGCCATCAACGAAGCATACATGATCAACATTCACAAGCACATCCATGGCATGGGCTTCAAGAAGCGTGCCTCTAGGGCACTCAAAGAAATCTGGAAATTGGCCATGAAGAAAATGGGGACTCCAGATGTGCAGATTGATACCAGGGTCAATAAAGCCATCTGGGGCAAAGGAATAAGAAATGCTTCATCCTGCATCCTCTAACATGATGGCCTGCTTGTTGGGGTTTCTGTCCTGCCTGGTCCCCCAGCCATTTAGTTCAAGAGAAAATCACACAGAGAGTCTGCATTAGGTTATAAACTGATTGGCCCATTTGCTCAGGCTTCTTATTAGCTCTTGTAGCTTATTTTAACCCATTATTTTTATCTATGTTATCCACGTGGCTCAGTATTTTTTCAGTGGGACAGGTCACATCCTGCTTCTTCAGTGATCTGGGCAGGATTCTGGGAAGAGCTTCCTTCTTCCCAGAATACTCTTTTTTTCCCACCTCTACTTCCTGTCTGGTTTTCCCACCATGGCCAATCAGCGCTTATTTAAAATATAACTGACAGATATATTGAAAGACTCTCGAAGAGGTCCTTCTCTCGGGAGGAGACCTCCCTGAAGCCAAGGAACAGGCCGAGACCACACGGATGCAAATCGCAAGAGGTTTATTGGGTGAACACAGGTACCTGCGGGCAGCAAAGTCTTTCGGAGGACTTGCGGCCTGCCGACTGGAGGGCGAGTTTTTTTTTTTTTTTTTTATAGGGAAGAGCAAAAAGCAAAAGCGTGGTTATCGGAATGAGGCGGGGGCATGAATGGTTTCCTCTCTCAGCATGGGTGTCAGCAAAAGTCATCCTGTTCCTATCTTATAGATATCCTGTTTTGCAGTCAACCTGCTTTGCTGATGTCCTATCTTATTGATATCCTGTCTTGCAGTCATCCTATCTCGTAGACATCCTGCTCTCCTAAGCAAATGGAATGTTCTTATGAGAGCAGGCTGGATCTGAGAATTTTTCAAGCAAACAGGGCGTTCCCCCCCCCCCCCAGCATGCTAGCTGCGTGTTTTGAGGAGGGGGTCTGTAGGGTCTTTCAATACAGTTGTTCTCCCACACCAGTATCTGGGTACGTTTGTCCAGAAAACGTAATGAGGATGAGGGCTCACCAAAGAAGCTCTACACATTGGTAACTTACATGCCTGTTAACACATTAAAAAATCTACAATCAATGTGGATGAGAACTAAGCTACTGAATCACAAATGAAGTTGGAGAACTGCCAATAAAAATAAAAATAAGAGAGAGAGAGAGAGAGAGAGAGAGAGAGAGAGAGAGAGAGAGAGAGAATATCTTTGGCTAGCTGGGTGTGGTGGTATACATATATAATTCCAGAACCTGAGAAGAAGCTGAGACAGGGGGGTTGTTAGTTCAAGGCCAGTCTGGCCTAAACAAGCAAACAAACAAGGAAACAAATGAACTTTTGCCTACTTCTAAAGGTATAAGATTATCATACTTTCTGTCTAGAATTCTTATAGAATTACATTTCAGATTCACATTTACAATTCACCAGCATTGATTTTGTGTGTAGAGTACCATACAGGCAAAACGGTGCTGTTTCCCGAGTCTCTTATTTAAGTAGTCACTGGTCCTGACCAATGTCCAGTGTTGTCTTTATCAGAATCAAGTGCCCAGTCAAGTATGTGTCTGTGCTCCAGTTCTCTTCCCGGAGTTCTTTTGACTTCCTGGTCCTTGGGCCTGTACTAGGTACCCCAGGTCTCACCCTAAGAGCTGAAGATCTGGGGTACTTATACACTGCAGCTATAGTACTGAGAGTTTCAATTTTTTTTTTCTTTGCAGACGTGATCCTCAACTCCTACAGAATTGTTACTTTGTGCCACTTTGGATTGCTAACATGGCCAGCTCACAGTCAGTGGCTTCTCAGACATAATGGGCTTTATCCTCAAATTGTGAGCCAGAATAAATCTTTCTGTGGTGGTTTGGATGAGAATAGCCTGCACAGGCTCATGTCTGAGTACCTGACTCCCTGGTGGTTGAACTGTTTGGAGGTGTGGCCTTGTAGGAAGAGGCATGTCTCTGAGGGTGGGCTTTGAGGAACGCTGCTTCTATAAGTTGCTTTGGTCATGGTGGTATTCTGGTCTTTGCTTTGGTTTTCATCACAGCGATAGGGCCTTAACTGCTACACATCCCCGCTTAAGTGGCTTTTGTCAGGTGTCTTATCACAGCTGTGGGGAAAGTGACTAATACAGAAAATCCATACGTAATAAGGCTGCTGCTGTAGTAAACCTGATCTTGCTGTCCTCGGGCCTTGTGTCCAGCTTGTGGGAGGAATATAGAAGAGCTTGGAGCATCAGGCTAGAGAGGCCCTGGGACAGGATAAGCAGAGTCGAATGGGACATTTGGGTGGGTGTATGAAAAGTCAGACTGTTGAGAATTGGGGACGCTAGAGGTCTGGTCCAAGGTCAGAGGGGAACAAGAACTCTATCAAGAACTAGGCTAGAGGTTACTCATGTAATATTCCGGCAAGGCATTTGGCTTTATTTTGTCCATGTCCTGAGTACTGGAATGAGGCTGAATTCAAAAGCAATGGAACCATTTGTTTGGTAGAGAAGTGTGTGTGTGTGTGTGTGTGTGTGTGTGTGTGTGTGTATGTGTGTGTGTGTGTGTGATATGTATAAGCCTGTAGAGACCAAAGGGGTCATTGGATTCCCAGAATCTGGGATTAGATGAGGTTGTGAGCCAACTGACAGGGGTGTTGGGAATGGAATTCAAGTCCCCTGGAAGAGGGCAAGTGGTCTTAACTGCTGAGCCATCTCTCCAGCATTGGCATAGGATATTTAAGGAAGAATGTCTGTCCACGAAATTGTTCTCTGACCTCCACACTTGTGCCATGGCACATGCTCACATATGTATGCCTGTAGCACCCACAAAACACTAAATTTACTTTTTTTTCTTTTTAGTTTAGAATAAGGAAAGTACAGAGGCACGTGTAATTGCCAGACTGATTGACCTCATTCTTTATCCTGAGACAACAGGAAAGGTGGTTTGAGGGGTGAGCTCACTGAAAACTTTACCTGGTAAATACGCAGATTTTCATTTGGACGTAGAAAAAATCTGAGCTGAGAATGTCAATGGGAAGTGTCTCTTGAGCACACTGTTGGTGTGGCTGAAGGCGTCAGGCTACCTTTTGAGCTGGCAGCAGAGTTGGCAGCCTTGTTCACGTGGTACTCTTTCACAGGCGTGAAATGGACAATTGTGTAGGTATTATGGAGAATCGCACCTAGGCTCCAGAAAGATGCTCAGGTCAGGCACGTATAGCAGGGTCAGGGTGCTTTTAAGGAAGCCCTGACAGACCTTTCTGTGAGGCTGTGAAGGAGAAGCCCAAGTTGCAATGGAGATTCCAGTATGCTGGGGATATTGGAACTACGGGGTGTCTCCCAAGGAAAGCTGTAGGTGGGGGGTTGGTAACAGAAAGTGGGCAGCATCGTCTCAGGGGCCAGGATCCTAAACCAAATGAGAAGGAAAAAGTCAGTTGAGTGCAGCATTCATGGGATATTAACCATGTAAAGATGTGTGACATTTGTTTATGCTGTGCTATTTTATTTTAATTACGTAAAGGTGTGCTACACTTGTTTGTGTGCATTTGTCTAATTACGTAAAGACGTGTTACATTTATGTCAGCTTGTCTGCCGAAGGCACCTGATTGGCCCAACAATGAGATGAACAGTCAATAGCTAGGCAGGAGAGGGACAGGCAGGGCTGACTAGCAGAGAGAGTAAGTGAGAGGAGAAAGGAGAAGAAGGAGGGGGGAATGAGGGAATAGAGAGGGACATGCCCAGGGCCAGAAGCCAGGCAGCTGTCAGCCAGCCAGATGTGGAGAAAGAGGAAAGTCAGACAAACAGCACGAAAGAAAGATAAAGAGCCCTGAGGCAAAATGTTGAGAAAGAGAAACAGATGAAAATTAGAGTTGGGATGGGACTGAGCGTTCATAACTAATCATAAGTCTCCATAGTGTGGTTTGGGAGCTGATTGGTGGCCCCAGAGAAAAAGCCTGGTACAAGTCTCTGCTTCCTGGCTACAGATGCAATATAATACACACCTCATGCTCTGGCCATCGGGACTCTCGGCCACCATGGACTGCACCCTCAAAACGGAAACAAACCCTTCCTTAAGTTCCTTAAGTTGGTTCCAACAACAAGAAAAGTTACTCACAGTCCGCAAGGGAAGGAAAGACACCAACAAGAGCATTCCAGTGTTATATAGCATAACGTCATAATCCTATACCTGTAATCATACATATTTTGTCACCTGGCCCAGCTGAGGCATGTAGATTCTCCAGTGTACAAACAACCATTGTTGGATTACCCAGCCAGTCCGATAAATTGAATAAATCCCCTCTATACAACTATTTATTTCACCAGTTCTGTTCGTCTAGAGAGCCCAGCAAGTAGAGATAGCTAATAGACACCCCTTTTTCATATATCCAAAGCTGTGTGTATCATGCACACATTGTTCCTCTTACCTCACTGGAATGCAGGTGCCATGAGGTGAGAGACTTCATCTTTTATTCCCCATTGCATGCAATGGTCATGGCCAAGAGCAGACTTCTGTAACTAACTGCTTTTTGTTTATGTTTTGTAGACCAGACTGACCTTGAATTTGCTGTGTAGCCAAGAGTAGCCCTGAACTCTTGAGGCTCCTGCCTCTACCTCCCAAGTGCTGAGGTTAACAGGCATATATGACCACTCCCCACTGTGAGTACTTGTTAAAGGAATAACTGCTACCAAAAAGCTATTAGAGGTCATCTGGTCTCCAGGCTGCTATACATCTAGTGGGTCTGCACAGGAACCTAGGTTCATTTTTTTCTCATCAATTGCTCAACCCCTTCCACTCCTTTTGGTGCACAGATAAAAGTTTAATACTGTCAGCTGATAATTAAGGGAAATTGCTGGCTATAGTGCAGAAGGTGTTTCTGCAGTTATTTGCCACGTGAAATGACATTGCCTTTCTAATCTATTCAGTTATCATCCAGAGCAAATGTCAACAGTAGAAGGAGCAAAGCATGAGTTGTTGCAGCCAATAAAGAGGTGGCTTTGCTGTCCTGTTCCAGGGAACAACAGTCTGAACGGTTTGCAAAGGTAAATGGCAATGTGGTGGTTTGACTGAAAATGGCCCCTTTAAGTCCTGAGGGCGTGACACTATTAGGAGGTGTGGCCTTGTTGTAGTGGGAAGAGTGGGTTTTGAGTTTTCAGAAGCTCAAGCCAGACCCAGTGTCATTCTCCTTGCTGCCTGCCAGTCCAGATGTAGAACTCTTGGCTCCTTCTCCAGCATCATGTCTGCCTGAGTGCTCCCACGCTTCCTGCTATGATGACAATAGACTAACCTCTGAACTGTAAGCCAGCCCCAACTAAATGTTTTCCTTTATAAGAGTTGCCATGGTCATGGTGTCTCGTCACAGCAGTAGAAACCCTAATGAAGACAGGTAAGAAATCAGTTGGAAAGAAACACACACACATATACACACATACGCGCACACACACACACACACACACACACACACATACACACACTGAACCCAGCAAGAGGATAGCAACAGGCCTGGTAATGAAGCGGACAGTTATTAAAAGAAGAAAGTGCCCAGATTGCTCCCTTTGTGAATGGTGGGTTGAGAAAGCTCTTCTTTCCCTGAACAGCGCTCCAGAAGGCCGCTATCAACCATGAGTGTGGTCTAGAAGCCTGGGAAGGAAAGCCCTGCTCTACCAAGTAGCTCTGCTCCTTTGGCAGAGAATATGCCCCTTCCACTCTGCTCCCACTCTTCCCCGCCCCACTGTCCTTTCTAGAACTCTGCTTTACTAAAATAACTCGAACAAAAAGAGTTCCCAGGCCTAGGAATTCTGTTTCCCCTTTTTGTTTTCACATCCTCTCTTTCTCTCACTCTATCCAGGTATATTTCCTATAAGCTGACCAGAATACTGTTCACAGCTACATAGGCATGCTTCTAAAACCGAGAATGCATACCTGAAATTCTAGCACTCAAGTGGCTGAGGCAGGAGGATTGCCATGAGTTTGAAGGCTGCTTAGCCTGTATAATGGGTTAGAAGTTATATAGCAAGCACCTGTCTCAAGTGTTACAAGGTTAAGAATCTTGTTACAGCACTCCATAACCAGAGGATGTGTGCCAATTCGCATAACTGATATGAAGAGGGGCCAAGTTGTGAGGGTACCCGGCCCACATCCCTGCCTGGAAA